AATCTGTACTGAATAGGAGTAACTACAAGGCGATAATACTTAATTACTTCAAGTCCATGTAGTGAGTGCGATTGTGATAAATAATTTTCTTATCTTTCCTCCCTTCTCTTCCCTTATCTTTTCTGGTAGTCTTCATATTTTATTTTTTTGTATCTTGTTAACAAAAAAATTCACATATACGTAATTCTTATTTTCAGTCGTAAGCTCACTTAATTTTAGTTTAAGTCCATTTCAATAATATAATGTTACTTAATTAAGTTCATGTACTATTAAAAGATTATTGTCTTAAATGTACAACCACTGTTCCCTGTTAAATAAATAAATAAATAGCTTTATAGTCATTTAAATAACAAATAATTTTGTATTTGTAAGACTGTAAATAACTAATTTTTGATGAAAAATGCAGATACCAATTTTTTATAATTACAGATTGCAAAGGATAATAACAGACAAATGTTAATCGGTCGTCTAATAGTTGACTATGAAACCAATTCACCTGTTCAAATGAGAACATTACTTAAACCCGAACTAAGGAAAATAACACTCCTGCTCTGGTTTCTATGGATGTCATGTGCGTTCTGCTATTACGGCTTGGTATTGATAACTGTAGAGTTATTTCTTAAGGACAAAGTTAATTCCGTAAATCAGGGATGCAGCACATTCAATACACAAGATTTTATGGACCTATTGTGGATTACTTTCTCTGAATTTCCTGGAATATTTGTAACAATAGCTATTATTAAACGATGTGGCAAGAAAAAAACGATGGCCATGCAATTTCTAATTTTTTCTGGATGTGTTTCAATACTATCGCTTATTAAAAGGTACGTTTAATTCAAGCTATACATACCGTTATACTGAATGCCATAGAACATTTTAATGCTCTTACTCAGATGGTTATCTTAATTAAACAGTCTCGATGTTTCCCTTTCTTGAGAGTTCTGAGCGTCTAATATGTATTGCAATTCGAAAGGCGACACTGACTGATACAAATTCATAGTGCAATGTAATTGAATCTTATTTCTTTTTGGAATCGCAATGCAGAGTAGACCCTTGGAATACCAATTATAAGTCAGTTCATGGTCAAATTTTGTGCAAAATTTTAACTAAAAGAGCCATTTCAGTATGAAGAACAACTTATAATTCGCAGATGGTCCTCACTAATACTCATAGTGATGGGTAATAATATCCATAGATAATATTACCTTTTTGAATCGAAGTAAAGTCCAAGGACGTTATTGATCTTTTAAAACACCATTGAAAAAAACCACTTTTAACATATGTACATAGTATTTATACAGCTTTAAAAGTGCATAACATCGCTGCGGCCAACGTTCGCGGTCCAACCAGCATCGCGCCGAGCCGTTTTCGGCCGCTCCCCTCCATTAAAAAAAAATGCTTTTTACAAATTTCATAAAAATGGGCGCGTTTCTAAGATGCAACTGTTTACCCCAACAGTAGCGGAAATTCTGTCAACTGTTGGGTCCAACAGTTACGTCTTAGAAACAGTATGATGCATGAACTGCCAAACAAACAGCTGATATTTGTAAACAAGCAAAATTAAATAAAAGAGCCCAAAAATAAAAAAATTTACTAAGCCAAAAATATGAACACATGAACACTAAAGCATCCCAACTTAAGCTACTATTCCATACGAACACAGGTACATATGGGTGTTTCCATGAAAATGTCAACCAGGGCTGAAAAAATAAAAACAACTGAAAAGGGTTTTTAAGACGAATTAATAAGAGAAAAATACTCGAATTTTTATATTATAGAAGTATTTCAGCTTATTGGAATTTTAAAACTCAAAAATGGAAGAGTAATACTGAATGTCTCTCGACTCAGTTTTTTCTAATGAAATGAACTATTTTCTCTTTCCTATTAACTAAATTAGGAGATTTGAAACATTACAATTACATCTTAAAATCAAATTTGCAATAACAACTAACTATAAAAATGAGAAAAAAGAGAAGTTAGAGCTCGAATAACGGTAATTTTTTGATTTCGATGTTTCCCTTTCTTGAGAGTTCTGAGCGTGTAATATGTATTGCAATTCGATAGCATTCTAATGCCGCCTACGTTATTCAAAAACTTTGTTTGTCTATGTCATTTGTATATTGGCAGTCGCAGGTAATGCAGATTACAATTCTTAAGCGAGAATTCTTCTAGTTAAAGATACACAGTAAAATTTTCTTTCCAACCGAAGTAAAAATATATTTTATTACCCTTTAAAGTTTGTCGCATACGTAATTGTAAGTACGAAAATTTCAATCAAATACATCAAAACCAATGTTAATTGCAAATTTTCCATTTAAATTATTTAGAATAGTTGTAAGACAATGAAACGGTGGCGAGAAGAGTTCTCAATAAAAACATTTTATTACTTATGAGAAAAATTGTCGCGTACGTTATTATTTTTTTTTAATATAAAACTAGCCAGAGATAATTTCTCTTAAAATATGAAAGGATTGTAAAGGTAAATTATTTACCTTAGTTTAGGAATTTTTAAAGAAAAGAAAAACTCCCATGATTCGCAGACTTTCGCATATATGCGTGTTTCCATGAAAATGTAAACCGAAAATGCAAGCAAATGAATTCAAACGGCTTTATAACTTTAAGTTTCGTATTCAGATGGCGTAAAAAGGGTTTTCAAAACGCGAAACGGTGGAGAGAAGAACTGAAAAAATTTAATTTAGTATGTGTTACTAGTAAAGATATTGTATGGGGGAAAAATCTGTCGCGTACGTTATGTCGCGTACGTTATTATATTTTTTTTTAATAAAAACTAACCAGAGATAATTTCTATCAAAAAATGGAAGGATTGTAAAGGTACATTATTTAGCTTAGTTTAGGAATTTTTAAAGAAAAGAAAAACTCTCATGATTCGCAGACTTTCGCATATTTGTATATGTGCCTTAAAACCACTTCTTTTTTTGTCGCGTACGTTATCACCTGGTTTTGAACGGATATTTTCCACACCAAAGTTTCGAGGCTGCTTATTTTTTTCTCAAACATAGTACCCTTTGGTTGCAACATAACCGTAATCTTTTTTTTCTGTAACTTCTATTTTTGATAGATTTACGTTACTCTATAAGCGTACGAATGTCGCGTACGGCTGTATGGAAACACCCATATGTACTTACATATCGAGCCCTAACCGCCAAAATAACGTAAGCGAAATTTTTTTCAAAATTTTCTTTTTGATGCAGAAATGCATCTAGATGTTCTAGGAATATGCATCAAAAAGAAAATTTCGAAAAAAATATCGCTTACGTTATTTTGGCGGTTAGGGCTCGATATGCTTATAAGTCCACGATTTTTTTATTTATTTTAAATATACACGTGTATTTTATTTTATTTATAGCCAGTTTCATTTTTTTTAAATTTATTATGAAAACTGACGGAAGGGAAAAATCATTTTTTAGTTAAATTGTTGAGTTCATGTCGCGAAATAATTTTACGATGGAAAAATGGCGTCAAATCAGTAACCGTTCAGCTGAGCGGAACTACTCAACTGTGCGTTTCTAAATCAAGCGCTCAACAGTTTAACAACAGCTACGTCTTAGAAACGCGCCCAATGTGTTTGTTTTTTAGATACATGCATACTTCAAATATTTACAAATTTTATAAATACATATATGTAGGATGGCTTGCATAAGTCCACAATAAAACACCCGCGGATAGATTTAGATTTTGACAGTTTATTGTATATATACTTTAGGTGAACTTAGAATGTAAAATAGAAAGAGCTAAATACTGGACTATTAAAATAGCTTCGACCTAAAGTAAAAGCTTAAATTTTAGCGTCCACGTCGGTTGCTTTTAGTTTGGTGACTGTCCCGTTTATTATTTTCTTGTCACTGTCCTTTTTATATTTTACTTTCCTCTCGCTCAGCGTTTGGACTACTGAAATTCGATTCGCATATGGGACTCGAAAAGCGGAGTAAAAACGATATTTTAGGGGCAGATTAACATTTTTTTTGTTCCATAGTATAAAAAAAAAATACCTCTTTAGGTACTTTTTCAGTTCATCATATTTTGTTCCATACTTACGCATTATTTACATTCATATATGTATATTAGACTGCATCACTCCCCATACAAAAAAATCGGTACTATTTTTCCACTGGAATTATAAAATCTATTGGCGCGTATTCATAGTCCAGCAACTAAGTCGAAACTAACAAAGTTGCAACTTAAATTTAAGTACCAACTTAAAATTTACCTCTATTCATAGTCGCATTTCAGGCTTCAACTAAGTAGTTTCGACTTAGTTTACGATATAGCAAAACGATTGTGAAAATGTATCGATTTTTCTTTACGATATTTTGGAAAAATTACATTTTTATTAAATAATATCAAGTTTGATCATCCGTTTATGTAATTTTTATTTTCATTGCATGATTATGCAAAAGAATAAGGTATCATTTTCTTGTTAATTGTGTGAAATAGCCAGAACAACCGCAGTGATGTGAAGTCGATGTTTATCGAAAGCATGCTGTGAAACATACAAATAGTAGATATCTAAATGTTATGCACAAATTTACTTTAAAAGAACTAGCGTGAAACTGACTTATTATTTGAAAATTTATCTAAATTATTCCAATTATAAAATTGTGATGTAGCTTTGTTCGAATTGTAATACGCATTTAATTTCATCTTCCGATTAAAATGGATCGATCTTTGTAAATTTTAATTGGAGTTTATTCAATATTATCAAAATCACCCTCTACCAACTTAATTTTTACATATTTCGTCTGTTTTCCCTTAATTTGATAAAATACTTCTTCCTAGTTACGACTTAGTTGCAGCTGCAGCCGAAACTAAATTTTAAGTTGCTACTTAGCTAGAAAAGTCGAAACTAAGGCGACTATGAATAGAATAGTTTCGACTTAGTTGAGTACTAAATATGACTATGAATATGCGCCATTATATTTTAAGACGTGCACCAAAATATTTCGGAAAAATATTAAGATTTAAGTGAGCTGGACCGATTTGAAAATACCTCCAAAAATGGTGTTTTTTATGAACAAAAATAGTTTCTTAAAGATTTAAAAAAAAAATCCCTTCAAATGACAAAAAGGTTTAAGCTTAAAATATTTGCAAAAAATTAAAAAAAATTTTGAACGGAATCGTAATGAGATTTTTGATGCTGTTTTTTAACTTTTTTCAAAGGTTGGTATAAGAAAAACTTGAATAACTGAACCTAGAGTTTAGACTCTTCCGATTTATTCTTGAGATGTGTCATTGGAAAGGTATTTTCTCACCCTTTTTATTTCTTTACTAATAAACTCATTCAAAGGATGGAAGAGAAAGGAAGGAGGAACGAACGTCATTCAAAGTTGAATTAAGATGTGTTGGTACTCGAGGAAAAAATATGGGATACGAATGACGTTTTTTGGCCAGATATAAAAACAGTGCGAAAATACCTTTCTACTGAGATCCTATAAGTCTAAATCAGAACATTTTTCGCCCAGTTATTCAAGTTTTTCGTAAATCAATCTTTGAAAAAGTAAAAAAACAACATCAAAAATCTGATTCTTACGATTCCGTTGAAAATATTTTTAAATATTTTTATGCAGATTTTTTAAGCTTAATCGAATTTGTCATCTGAGGGGACTTTTTTCAAAAAGTTCATTAAGAAATTATTTTTATTCATAAAAAGCTTCATTTTTGGAGGTATTTTCAAATCGGTCCAGCTCACTTAAATCTTAATATTTTTATGAAATATTTTGGTGGACGTCTTAAAATATAAAGATTTTGTAATTCCGGCGGAAATACCGCAACTTTTTTTGGTGATGCAGTCTAATGTATATGTATA